ATTAAAAAAATTAAAAAAATTAAAAAAAATTAAAAAAATTAAAAAAATTAAAAAAATTAAAAAAATTAAAAAAATTAAAAAAATTAAAAAAATTAAAAAAATTAAAAAAATTAAAAAAATTAAAAAAATTAAAAAAATTAAAAAAATTAAAAAAATTAAAAAAATTAAAAAAACAAACATATATAAATACATATACATATATACATGTATGTATATATAAACATATGCAATACATATATATTGTATATATACATATATATATACATACAAAATAAAAAAAAATACATATATATACATATATCTATACGTGTATATGCATATATATTCATATCTATATACAAATACAAATATAAACATATATACTTCTTGATGTGATCCACTCGCTTTTTTATTTTTTTATGTATATATAAATATATACTTGTATATCAAATTAAAAATTTATGTATATATAAATATATTTGTATGTATGTATATATATTTGTATAGATGTATGTATATATAGATATATTTATACATAAGAGTATATATATTTATATTTGTATTTGTATAAGATATGAATATATATGTATATACATATAGATGTATGTATATATATATATTTTTTATTTTGTATGCATATATATATATATATGCATTGCATATGTTTATATATAAATACATGTATACTTATATATGTATTTATATATATATATATATATGTGTGTATATATAAATATATTTATATGTATATATTATTTTTTTTCGATTTTTTTAGTATATGTGTGTGTACAGGACGCAAGAATGAGATTGTGGAATAAATCATTTACCAAATAGTGAATGGTGGTGGTGTAATTAGTAAGTATATCAACAAATAAGCTTGCGTTAATAGTATATGTGTGTGCGCGCGCACGCATATGGGGGAGTACGATTTGTATTTCCCTGGCTATATATATCCCTCCGTGCAAACCCAAATCAAAGAGAGAGAAAACACAGAGGAAACAAAACAATTCAAGGAGGGGGTGCATTGCAGCGAGCTCTTCTTGAAAGCCATCTCAAGGAATGGAAACCTTTTTTATTCAATCTACCATCTTTTTTTTCTTGATGTGATCCACTCGCTCTCACTCTGAGAGAGGACAAATTGTCAAACCGAACCTGCTTAAACTTGGTCGAAAGCCTGAGCCAATATCCAACAGTCACGTGATCGGCATCTATTATACAACATCAACCATACCATGACCCCGGGAGAGGGTAGTAATGATTGCTCGTGCCGGAGCATCTGCGACTCTCTAATGGAGGCCCGTATACATATATCTATACGTGTATATGTATATATATTCATATCTATATACAAATACAAATATAAATATATATACTCCTATGTATTAATATATATATATATATATATACATACAAAATAAAAAAATATACACATATATATATATACATCTATACAAATATATATACATACATACAAATATATTTATATATACATAAATTTTTAATTTGATATACAAGTATATATTTATATATACATAAAAAATAAAAAATACATATATATACATATATGTACGTATAAATATATTTATATATACACAAATATATATATGTATATATATTTGTATAGATGTATGTATATATAGATATATTTATACATAAGAGTATATATATTTATATTTGTATTTGTATAAGATATGAATATATATGCATATATATATAGATGTATGTATATATGTATTTTTTTATTTTGTATGCATATATATATATATATGCATTGTATATGTTTATATATAAATACATGTATACATGTATATGTATTTATATATATATATATGTGTATATATAAATATATTTATATGTATGTATATATATATATGTATTTTTTTATCGATTTTTTAATTTTTTTTAATTTTTTTTACTTTTTTTTAGTTATTTTTTTTTTTAAATCTGATGTGGTGTGCTGACGTGGAGAAATTTTTCGCGTGGCATTCCACGTCAGCCGCCACGTGACCTTCCACGTCAGCAATTAACGGATATTTTAACACCGTTTCAGATTGTATAGTAAATTACAGTAAAATTGGGTAATTCGTGTACGAATTTGGGACATTTGACGATATAATGTAGGTTTTTGTCAAATTAAAAATTCGTGTAGGAAAAGATCATATTTTACTAAATTGGTGTAGAAAAATGTCATTTTTCCTTATTATTATTATTATGATTGTTCATTAATTTGTTTATATATAAAAATATATAATCAGGAGGTCGTCGTCACCATGACCATGAAGAGTACATGCAAGAGGTTGAGAAGAATACCTCATCACTACGATTAGTGAGATGATCCTGGCCGTCCGTCCAAAATTTTATTTCTTCGGCCAAGTTATAAGTATTTGGAGCATACTATCCAATTTTGTGTATTGGTAAACAAAAAAAAAACATTTGAAAACAGTAATTATACATATCTGAGTAGTTGAAAACAGTAATCCCTCATACTATGATATTTTCCCCCCAAATATTTGTATGCAATACTGCATAGTATGGCTTATGGATGTCGCTGTCACGTATCTTTTTTTAAGCTCCCGTGGAATGGGAGATCTCTCAAAAAAATATATGTTGTATATATATATATATCCTTTGGAGGAAATAACCTAACGATTCTTCTATTCAAATGTTAAGCATAACTGTAGAAAATTATTTCAGAGATATAAAAAATTTTCATAAAAAATCGTAATATTAGATTAGATTTGATTTTATCTTTATATTTTATATATCTATATTAATTAAACAATATATTTTACAGTTATATTTTTATATATAAATATTCTAATATTTTGTACTAAATAAAAAAATCCAAGAATTCTACACATTTTCTGGTCTATTATTCAAAAGTAAAATTTATCGTGGCAACCACCCTTGAGATCCATAAGAGATCCCCTCTATATATATATATATATATTACGAATAAAGGCCACGATCGTTTTCGTAATTTATAGACAGCGTGAGAAATTGTTTTAACGTGTTAACCTCTATCTGTCGGTTGTGTTAAGAGTTTGGAAGTCACATGTCAGTTCGTTCAACTGTACTAAAATATTCTTATCAACATGAGAGGTACGACTGCTCATGCTACTATCTCCGTCCCTGTCACATCACATATACATACATCTCTTCATAAAATATATATATATATATATATATATATATAACAGTCATGTTTAGTGCTTAAAAAAAATACCACCGTTAATTACAAAAACAAATACCACCGTTTCGAAATCTTACATATCCTTGTATATTATGTGAAACCATTTTCGATCCTTTCAGAAAATATTAATATTGCATCTTTCAATGTGACGAACAATATGATCAACCACGTCTCTCGATGTAAAGAATCAATTTATTGTTTGGTTTAGTGTTAGTCGAGTAGAAACTAAATAAAGAGTTTGGTGAACATAAAGTTACATAGATTAATTACTAACAGGTGTCGCAAGTCAACCCATATTTTACCGATCGAGTTGGACTTAGTAAAATTGAGTTTGAAAAAAATTGGCCGAATAAACCAATTCGGCACGAGCTAAATCCTAATGAAACAAGAAAAAATATATTTTCTTTAATTTCTTAAGAGTATTTTTAATACTTTTTATATTTTTAAAATTTTTATTATATTTTAATTTTTTTATTTTTATTATAATATTTTCTACTCTATCTTATTTTAGAACATTTCATCCATTATACTCTGTTACATATATAATTAACAAAATTTTATTTTTATTTTTTAGTTAGATATTTGGTTCACGAATTAACTCGTTTGGTTCGTGATCAAAGACAAATTGGGTTGAGTCAAATATTATTCGATTCGTTGAGTTGGATTAAAAAATTCTGATATCAAGATAAGTTGGGGTGGTTCTGACCGGACCAAACTCATTTTACACCTCTGATTACTGATTAATTCCAAGATTTTGGTGACCGATTCAAATAAAAAACACTGTAAAATCTGTTGACAGTTGATACATATATAATTCTAAATATTTCATTTTGTATCCAAATACTGAAATAATATCATATGTTCAGTTCAATCTTGGATCAATTTCTGTCACATGAATATCTTATCCTATAGCCTCTTTCACAAATTCCAAAGCCGTCGTGGATTTGAAAAACATAACCCGAAATTCTATCCGAAAATAAGATGGTGATTCCAGAAATTGAATCATGCGTATGCCGTAGTTCATGAAATTTGATCTTATTGTGGTCAATGTGCTTCAATTATTTGTGTGAGTCACATTATCAACATTAACCACACCATCCGTTTCCCCCCAGCCATAATTATATATATTATATATATATATATAATATATATATCCCTATTAAAGAAGGGAAACAAGACGATAAGATGACACACTTTAGCCATTGAGACGTCGTCTTCTTCTAGTCATAGGTCTTCGTCGGGATTTGCAGTTGGAGTCAAAACGTGTCACTTAGGTTTTGGTCGAGATTTCGAGGCCGACAGTGACGTCACTTTTTGTCTTCATCTCACTCTCACTTAACACCGTCAATTTTTAGCCATTTTAAATAAATGAATTAACAAAACATAATGACCAAATGATAAATAATAGAGCGAAAACATAATTGGGGCTCGAAAGCAAAAGCTAAAGGGGCCCCACATCCATTTCTATTCAAGTCAACGTGTCCGAGTATTATTAGAGAACCAACGTTTTATACCTACCATGCATGGTCCCGTACAATAGTATAGGAAAATTATATATATGATCTTTTTCGTTAGCTTATATATATGATCTTATACGAAACGCATTTGATTATGCGATTTATAATCACATAGAGATATAAACATCTATGCTTCACGTACTTACAAGAATATATAGCAGTAAAATCTAATATAACATCGACAAACAAAAAAATATTCTTTTTCAATTTTATAGTTAATCACTTAATTGGTTTATGTTATACTGTGGTCTATAAACCGAGGGCTGAATTCCTAACTGTGGATGCTTGAGCCATTACACTGCTACACCAAAAAAATCTTCCTACAGTTATAAGATTCCTTTTAAATATACCGTCATATTGATTTTAATAAGTACCGAAAACACGAGAGAGAGAGAGAGAGAGAATGCTTATGAGGAGCTCATCTGCTCCGATACTTGACTCCTGGCTTCCTCATCACCAGTGCTTTACCTCTCGAGAGCCGTCATCTCCGGAAGCAGAGTCTCAGCTTCACAAAAGGACCAAATCATCAGTGTCTATGTACACATCGAACTTCATGGATGACAACACTCGAAAGCTCATTCACTATGAACTCAACGTCCACAGAGACAGGACCAAGCCCAGAAACACCGCCACCATCTTAAGAACTACCCCACGTATGAGCAAACCCATATCAGAAGACGAAGATTCTGAAGAAGAAGAAGAGCCTCGGGTGAAAACGTCAACGTTTTCGGTGGAGAGGTTGCTTTCGAATTCAGGGTTGGGAGAGAAGGTGGTGGAGGAAGACAGCATTGAGGACGGTGGCAGTGGTGGTGGAGGGATGGGGAGAGATGACGGCGGCGGAAACACCACTAACGGTAGAGACGGCGGAGGAGGAGAGTTCTTCGAGAGCGAAGCGTATTACCGGGTAATGATAGAGATGAACCCTGGAAACTCCCTTTTCCTTGGCAACTACGCTAAGTTCTTGAAAGAGGTATAATTTTCACTCTCTTATTATATTTATATTTGATTTTAAATTTCAGAATATGGGCGTTGCTGAATATTTGGATATATATATATTATATGGAAAAAAAACAGGTAAAGGGAGAAATGAAGAAGGCGGAGGAGTATTGCGAGAGAGCAATCTTAGCGAATCCGGAGGACGGAAACATTCTCTCGCTTTACGCTGATCTCATTTGGCGAACCCGCAAAGATGGCCGGAGGGCTCGTAGTTACTTCGACCAAGCCGTTAAATCCGCTCCTCATGATTGGTATTTGTTTCACTCTCTTCTATAACTTAAGCTTTTTCTTTCTTAAAATTTAATTTAATTTTGTTTTTGCTAACCATTTTTTTAAAATGTAAAACAAAACATTGTGAATACAGTTACGTGCAAGCTTCGTACGCTAGGTTTCTATGGGAAGTCGAAGATGAGGAAGACGACGACGATGAAACCGTCGTCGTACAAAATGATGAGAACGCGCCTCAAGAAATCCACCATTTCCCTCCTAACTTCTTCCATCCTCAACACCCTCCCATTACCGCAGCATCCTAAACCCTAATATACATATATATATATATATATATATATGTATATATATATATGAATACGTAAAAATATTTTAGGATGGGTATGTAAATACAAAGAAGGGAGAGGGGGGGGGGGGTAAGAGCTAGCTAGTAATGACATAGGACGCAAGAATGAGATTGTGGAATAAATCATTTACCAAATAGTGAATGGTGGTGGTGTAATTAGTAAGTAGACTATCAACAAATAAGCTTGCGTTAATAGTATATGTGTGTGTGCGCGCGTGTGTGGGGGAGTACGATTTGTATTTCCCTGGCTATAGATATCCCTCCGTGCAAACCCAAATCAAAGAGAGAGAAAACACAAAGGAAACAAAACAATTTAAGGAGGGGGTGCATTGCAGCGAGCTCTTCTTGAAAGCCATCTCAAGGAATGGAAACCTTTTTTATTCAATCTACCATCTTTTTTTTCTTGATGTGATCCACTCGCTCTCACTCTGAGACCTGACAAATTGTCAAACCGAACCTGCTTAAACATGGTCGAAAGTCTGAGTCAATATCCAATAGTCACGTGATCGGCATCTTTAAACAACACCAGCCATTCAATGACCCTGGGAGAGGGTAGTAATGATTGCTCGCGCCGGATCATCTGCAACTCTCTAATGGGGGCCCGCATCCAAGACTCCGAAGCTATTATAAGCAGGTGGACTTCTCCCGAACTTCATGACCCTTCCTTCTACAGCAGCCTCTCTTCGCATTTCTCCACAAAAAACCAGGAAGACCAAACTTGGTTGGATAGTATTGTACGAGTATTGACCGTATTGCCATGCAATTGACCGACTCGGTTCGATTTGTTAGGTTTTAGTTGGGCCATAGAAAGCCTTCAAAGCTAAAACAAATTGGGCTTATAATGGGCTTTTTAAATATAATATTATTACCAGATAAATGTAACTAATTAAAAAAAAAAAGAATTTATTTCGTGTTAAGGGGACAAAAAATGGAGAAGAGGGTTCTAGAGAAGAGTGGGCAACTACTGGGGCATATTCCCACGCTCCCGGACCTCAATCCTACTTTCCGTTTCAGTTTATTTTCTGCCTCTTTTTATTTTGTTATTATTTCCTTCTAGAAAATATTATTAAGACTTTAAAATGGGATGACTTTTATTTTGAATTTTTTATTTTTTTTGATTTTGGTTTTTAGTTTTTAAATTTTATAATAGTTAAAAACTCAAAAAAAGTAACTTTTGATTTTTCATTGATTTTTTCATTAAAATGGCTTTCCAAATTTTTAGAAAAATTAATTTTATAAAAATTTAAATGGTATTTTTTTTTTTGGATTTAAAAAACTCTAAAAATTCCTATACCATTTAAGGTCTAAATGTATACAACATAAAAACATTAAAGCAACCATGTTTTTGGGTAGCCGATTTCTTTTAAAATTAACAAAATTCCATTTAATAATAAACCTTAAGGCCAAATACACTTTTTTTTAATAAGTTTGAGAATCATCTGATGGTAAATGTTTTTTTTGTTGAAAAAAGTTTTTTTTCAAGAATCTGAGGGAAACAAATGTAGCCATACCCACCGCAAGGCTTTGAAAAAGTCCCACGACGACGCGCCGCTGCAAACGCGTGGCCAATCCAATCTGACGTGGCAAGCAAAGTCACAAACTCATCCTAACTTGAGAGAGGTCTCATCCATCCACGAGGGAACCAGATGAGTACCGGCCCACATCGCACGGAAGCATTTACAAGTTCCTTGGATATGACACGTGTCATATCGGAGCTCGCCATGGTTTCGAAATTGGAAATCGATGACGGTGACACGTGTCACATTAACAGAGGTCTGTCACAAAAATATAATGTGTGAATCATATATATACACACACACCCCTTAGGTTTGTCAAAAAAAAAAACACACACACATATATATAATAACCCAGAGAGAAATTATTTTCTTACATATAAAAAAAGAGTCTGAAATTGAAAAAATAAATAAATGAATAAAATTTGATGACACAACAGACACGCGAACATATCCATATTAGCGTCTCAACGGTTCTTGGCAACTCTTGTTACCAGAAAGGAAAGAACAGGAACTATAGGGTTTACTTTTCGTAGAAATACAGTTTCTTGGGTTTTGTTCTCTCTTTTGTTTTGTTTTTTTTTTAATTTATTTTCCCTGAAATTTGTTCTTCCAGGTAGAGAGAGAGAGAGAGAGAGAGAGAGAGAGAGACAGAGATGGAGAACAAAGATGAACTTGTGTCTGTTGAACTCCCAGCTCCTTCTTCGTGGAAGAAAATGGTATTATTCCCTCTGTTTTCTGCTTTTGTTTGATGGTAAATTTGCTGTAAATTTTGATTTTTGACATCTGGTTTTGGTCGTGTGAGCAGTAGTAGTTGGCATGGTCTCTTTCCTGGTGTAGTTTTTGTTTCTAGGGTTTATTTCAGTTTGGAGAATTATGAGGTATATTGGTTTTCCCGTGCGGTTTGGGGATTTTTTTTTTTTTGTAGTGAAAGATGTTCAAAGTTAGTGTGGAAAATTTCCCAACTTTGTTGAAATTTGGAGTTTAGGGATATCTTGATGATGAAATTAGGGTTTCTGCTAAATGTGTGAGATCGTTTCGGAATTGCTTGAGAGAAGTTCTCTGCCTCTGCTTCTGCATCTATAGCTCAGGAATTCACGGAATCTTGATGATGAAATTAGGGTTTTTGCTATATGTGTGGAATTGGCTCTGCATCAGTCCTGAATCACTGCTGTGGTTGGCAATTTTGTGGGTTTCTTAGAGGTTGTTTCAGAAATGGCTTCAGAGAAGTTCTCAGCCTCTGTTTCTGCATCTTGCGGCTCTGGAGTTGTCCGAATTGTCGAAACATCGTTCGTTACAGTCTAATTGAACTCGAATTGTCGTGGGACTCATGTCGGTTTGTGAAAGTGAGAGAATTTCAAATGGTTGCTTTCTGTGTCATTTGGATTCGGTCTTTGAGCTTGCTGGTTCTAAAAGTGACATCTGATTGGTTATCACAGCAGTTCTGCCAAATAGTTGTCGTTTTTTCCAAGGAAGAACTGCTCAAAACCAATGACCTCTTTAAGCTTTCTATTTTTTCATACTGAATTGGGTGAATAACTAATGGGTCTGGAGTGAATCCATATATGTTTTCTTCTTACAGTTTTACCCGAAGAAGGCAGGTACAGCGAGAAAGAGCGAGATCGCGTTCATTGCCCCGACGGGTGAAGAGATCAGCACACGCAAGCAACTGGAGCAGTACCTGAAAGTGCACCCGGGCAATCCTGCAATCTCAGAGTTTGACTGGACGATCGGTGAGACCCCGAGGAGATCAGCCAGGATCAGTGAGAAAGCAAAGGCAACTACCACTCCGACACCAGAGAAGGAGCCACTCATGAAGAAACGGAGATCATCCCTCACGAAGAAGGAGAACAAAGAGGAGGGTAGAAAAGATGTACAAACAGAAAACCCGGTGGCTGAAAAAGCAAATGGAGATGGCAAAAAGGATGTGCAACCAGAAAAGGCTGATTCCGAGGCTGAGAACAAAGAGGAGGGTGAAAAGGATGTACAAGCAGAGAAGGCTGGAGATGAGAAGGAGAGCAAAGAGAACGAGGGTGAAAAGTATGCGATGGAGACAGAAAATGTTGAGTCCGAAAAGGAAAAGGGTGTGGTCGAGGAGAAAGAGTCCAGGAACGGTGGAAGGACTGAAGAATCTGCTAAAGACGAAGGCCCAAAGGACACGGAAATGAAAGAGAAGACGGAAGATGCTACCAAGGGGGAGAAAGACAAACCCGCAGAGGAAAAGGCCGAAGAAAATGCTGGCAATGTGACAGCAGAAGCAACAAACAGGGAACGGGTGGCAACTGATGGTGAACCAAGCCTTCCGGCTGAAGCAGAGGCGAAAGGAAAGGAAACCCAGAAAGCCGACGAGAAGGCAGAAACTGAAGAGGCCGCCACAGCAGAAGAGAAGGGCAAAGCAGTGAACGAAGGAGACTCAAACGTGAATGTAAAAGTGAATCAAGATTCGCAACAGCTGCCAACTTCAGTAAGTTGTTGAAAAGGCAGTGTCTTAATCCGTTGTGTCTGACGTGAGAAGAGTCGTGGATTTTTTAACGTTATGGTCATCTGATGTATCAGTTGTTTAGAATTTGATGGTTTGTATGTTGTAGGGATTAATATGATATTTGACGCTGTAGTATGCAGACAGTAGGACGTAGTTCGGACATTTGTATCTCTTTTGTTCTCGTAGTTTCGTCTCTGTGAATGTCGTTTCTTCGAGGTCACACATGTTTTCTCCACTTTGGCTTTTGTTTCGTCAAAAACCAAAAAAAAAAAAGAAATGGTAATATCAAATAATGAGACCGTTTACATGTTTATTCATCATAAAACCCGACCATTCTTCATTCATGGGATGGGATTATTACACAGCGGATTGAGAAACAAGAAGAAGAACATCCAAAATGTGTGGAATCGAATCCAAGAAACCAAGTTTAGGAGGAGGATGGTCTGATCTCAATTCCATGAACAATAAGCCCTTCCTTGGCATGAAGGTTCCTCGTCTCGCAAAGGCGAATCTCCACTTCACCCTCGTCCCCTCCTCCCCCTCCATTGAAGAAGCACCCCAACTTAGCCTCAGACCACCCATCTCTTCTCGACCCTCCTTCTCCGCGTGGATTTTGCGACAGATACACCCTCGAATGCTGAATATTGTCAGCCGTTTTGACGGTGGATTCAACTGCCTCTCGAAATCCGTACGCGTTAGGCGTTAGATCGAACACAAGGTAAGCGCCGTATAGAGTGTTGTCGGAGAGAAGGCTTGTGTCCATCCTTCCTGAGATGTCAAACCACCATACGATGTCCAGCTCGGCCACTTCTTCAAACCTGTGTTTCGGCCAGTGACACGGACAAAGAAAGACTGCTTTCATTGATTCAAACTTCGGATTCGAGTTGGGAATATCGATGATATATATTTTTCTTTTTTCATAAACAAGAGGTTCATTAGATCTTCGGCCCAACTATCTCTAGGTTCGGAGATGCAAATGCACTCTCCTCCACATCCACCTATCGACTCGAACATGGGACTTCTCGTATATATGACACCCCAGATGACCTCTACAACCAAAGTTATAACCATTCGACCATTGGGGTGAATATCGATGATATTATATCCATCTTTACAGGTAAAACAATGCCACGGACCGAAAAGAATGATATGAGAGAGAAGAGAGGAGACCTGGAATCAGGAAGAGAAATCCAACGCCAGTATCTGGGATCATCTCCCCAAGCAATCCTCAAGGCTCTTGGTGATATCATATAACACTTCTTGCCGCTCGATCTCTCCAACGAAAAGCTCTGTTCCGACCGTTCGATCATTGTCTCAAAAACGACAAGAATAAAAAAAGAGAGAAAAAGAAGAGATTGTTTATGCTACCATTCGGCCTTGGTGGATGAGGAGGGGGTCATTGGAGAGACCGAAGAAGAGATCTTTCCGGGAGGGGTATTCAGGAACTTCGGCGGGGAGCTCCGGCGGCAAGAACTTGTTCCAGACATCATCGGACTCTGCCGCCGATCTGAAGATCCTCGACACCGACGACAATCGGCATGCATCGCGTGGCGACGTCAACGACAGTATCTTCGCTATGCAACTTTCCGGCAACACGTTCATTCCCATTTTCCATTCAACTATTTATTCCAATGTCTTACATATATATATATATGTGCGGCAGCTTTAGACTTGGTACAATTCCACTGCTGATTTTGTTAATGTTAACGGTCATGATGAAATTTATTTATCTCAGTCAACGACTACTTGCTCAAATAACATATAACCACCACACATATATCTAGATAATGGTGGCCACAATTATTTCCATTTTGCTTGTTTATTAAAGAAATATCATTTAAGCCAAATGTAATAATTTATTTAAAAAAAACATCAACTCAACTTGATTGTCCTAAGCCAATCATCAGAACATAATATTCATCACAAATTTAAAAACAAACATGATCTTATATATTTCAATACCGTGAAAGTGCAGTAAACCCTTGCTTCTTTCTCATAAGGGTTCTTGGTCACCCTAAGGTTCATCTTGTAAGATAAATTGAGAAATATTTTTTCTTTTTTGATATGACTAGGAATTTGTTCATTAATTTATTTTTAGCTAATTCTTATAAGGGAATTGTAACAATTATGTATATTGAAATCTGTATATTACGAACTTTTTTTTTTCAATTCCGACCATAGACTATTGGGCCATTACTGGGAGGATAACATGGCCCAGTTTCCGTACTCAAAAGCCCATTATATTACCCATCACGTTTCCCGCACGTGATCTCTGATCGGAAAGGAAACCCCCCCCCCCCCCCA